TTGAAGTTATCAACACGATGGGACCATCCTCAAGTCACTTAAGGTAAAAACTTGAGCCTGTGCCACAATGTCCACTTCTTTAAACCCTTTGCTGATTTAGTGCTTTCTTGAAAGTTAATTCCTTTCCCCAACTCTGGCACATACCTGCTCCTACAAACACTCAGTCTCTTCACTGGGGTGGTGGGTTGAGCTTAGGCTCGCCTCACTCTGGGCGGCACCATTTTCTGATTACTAAAGTGCTTCAAATACTCTGTTCAGTATTTGGTTCTAACTGGGTATGAGGCAACATGAACTGACTTGGTACAAATATGTTTATCTGTAACCTTACCAGAACTGTAAAAATTAAGTGATTCAATGAGTATTTATTGAGCTTCAGCCAATGCAAGTACTATGCACAACAGTTAAAATTCACTGATGGAAAAGATAATCCTCTCAGCTTTCAAGAAGTCATAGTATAGTATGGCAGACACAGGGTAACCAATACTTTCTCTAAGATGGTAAGAGACCAAGTCTGCTGACATAACTCACCAGGGATTAGAGATGGAGAATGCAAGTCATTAAATATTTCAAGTAGAACTGATGACTAGACAATGCATTTGAAGGATCAATAAGACCTAGCCTAGTACAGGGTAACTCAACAGTAGCACTACTATCATCTAAACAGAATAATTCTTTGTTGTGGGGCTGTCCTGTACTCAGTAGGGAGCTAAACAGACCTCTGACCTCTAAACATTGGATTCTACCCACCCAGTTGTGACAACAAAAAAACACCTTCAGACATTGCTAATATACCCTAGTTGGGGTGAGTGTGGGGGAAGGGGTGGAGTGTGGGGTGAGTGTAGGCAAAACCATTTCTAGTTGAGAAGCATTGACCTACAGAAAACAGGCAAAGACTGGAGATCCAGGAAGGGGATCTAATATATGGAGCATATAGAGGCATAAAATAATAGGGACAATGATAATTCATCTAGAATTAGTAAAAGCAAGCATGTAACATTTGCTTTTCACTATTGTAGATTGACTTGTTTGCATGTGATATCTGATTTATCCTCACAACTTTATGATGTATTACGCACACACTCACACATACATACACTGCCCCCCACCCCGGCTCCCCCCCCACACTTTCTATAAAGTGTTGTTAAGCATAAGGTCACTCAGCAAATGGAGCCAATATACAATCTCAGATCAAGTGATTCCACAATATAAAAGTCATGCAGTTCTCAGAATACTGTACAGTAAATGACTTTATATGCGGGGCAGAAGTATTTACAGGGAAAATACAAGAGACTGAAAGACAACAGCCATTGCCCACCTATAGAAAGAGTCTGATTTAAATATGAAAATAATGAAGTTTCTGAAATATTTTTAGCAGAAGACAGATAGAATAGAAAGAACCTGGTGAAAAGCAAGAGAGATAAGGGAAATGATGGGTACAGGTAAGGAGAACAAGTAGGAGACCCTGCAATAGCCCAGGTGAGAGATGTGGAAGCCTTTAGGTGGGAACTTAACAGCAGGAATGAACTGAGCTGTTCTTAAACTAATCTGATTATTCACCGACCTGGTGACTGACTGGACATAACAGCTAGCTATGAGCGCAAATGCTTGTGGTGTACCTTTTAAAGCTTCCGACCTGGTGACTAGTAAATTATGGATCTCTGGGTCTCCATGGGGTGGCCCGTTCCTCTTTCTGTTCTTCCCCCTTCCCACATCTTCAGAGTTTGTACCTGATTACATCGAGGTCATACACTGCTTTCTGCTCTACTTACTCAGTTAGTATTCATGACACAGTTACTGCTACAACAACCCCACCCCGCCAAAGTAGTGATCATCTAACACTGGTCATTTGACTCAAGAAGCTCAAATGCATTGTGCTCATCCTCCCATGAGTCCTTCATTACCACTATTCTTTGCCCCCACTTCCTAAGACAAAGGCTCATACCACCCAGTTGACCCAAGGTTTGATTCTCCAGTTGTTTGTAGATTCACCAAACAAGTTGCCTGTTAGTCCTTGTCCATTTGCAATTTAAAAAGGGAATTATTGGGTTGTCAGAAAAGTTATGTCATGTTTTCAAGCAAAAATATGTCATGACATTTCTAACAACCCAAACAAGGAGTAGTTCCAGGCCAAAAAGTTCAAATGCAAGAAACAACTAGAAAACTGAACTTAACAAATAGACTAGTTTGGATTCCAGGTATATAGTACAAACACACGTTCTTGTATAGACAATGGCGACAACAGTGACCAGAGAGAACTGGCTTTTAAAAACAATGAGAGTGGTATCAGGTCGTGAAGAACTGAAAGCTAAATCTTGGTGGCCAAGGGGATGAGATAGAAATGTGGGGAAGTGGCATGAAGTGAGATTTTTGGGGGGGGGGTGCGGGGAGGAGATGATGGGCTCACTGCCTTGAGCTTATGAAGATGAGGTACTCCAGTCTTAAGATACCTACAGAGGGCATCGTAGAATCACACTCAGTATTAGAAAGCAAATAAAGAAAACCCATTTTAGATACTGAGTTACAAAATGTCTAATTTGAGCTCAGATGCTTGTGGTGCACTTTTTAAAGCTTTCCCCCAACCCCTCTGGCCTATCTTGCTTCTGCGGCTGTTTTCCTTATTTGTCTTCAGCATTCTCCAGTTCTCTCTAATATTTTTCGCCAACTTTTTTAGTGAAGAATCAAATTCTAGTTGCCCCTACAACATGCCAGGTCAGCCTCTCTTCTCCTTTGTTTCTTTCTTATCCTCTTTGTCTGCATTTCTTATTACTTATTTCTTCAAAGTCCAATTTCCTTTCCTTTTCTACAGCTACCTGTTCATTTTACTCTTTGCTTCTGTCTTCCATTCCTCTAAACAGTTTTTCCTACCCTTGACTCTTCTGGGTGACCAGGGGAGAAATCATGTCCTGTCCAGAAAGTCCCAGGAAGTATTACAGAAAAATCAATATGTAGATTATGTTGGCTAGAATTATTTCTGGACAGTTTCCATTTTGAGATCCACAGGCTAAGGACCTTCTTGTCTATTTCCATAGTGACCAGGGATGTGGTAACTTGAGAGCCATTTCAAAATCACCTAGAGGCCTTGTTAAAACACAGCATGCTGGGGCGCACTTCTAGAACTGGTGTAGTGGGTCTGGGGTAGGGTTGGAGAATGTGAATTTCCAACAGGTGATGGTAATCATGCTGGTGCAGAGGCCACGCTTTTAGAACCACTGCAATAGCAGCTCTAATAGCTGTCAGGTAGTCAAGGCTCAGGTGTGCATGGCACAGTCGGGCAGGGAGTCCTCAGAGGGAATGGGCTTTGGTTCCTTGTCACAACAACTACGGCACTGACAGGACCTCAGGCAACTCTGAGTAAGGGGTCCAGTGAGGAGAGGAGCACAAATGGAGAACACTTTCTATTACAACCTTCTGGGAAACACTAAAGTCAACTCCAGGCCCTGTCATCCACCCTCCCCCTTGAGATCATGCATAGAAGCAGCAGAAGGGAATTCTCAGGATCGTTTTGATCTCTTCCCAGCTCCCCAAGTCCTCTGTGTGTTTATCTCCCTGCTTCCCTGGCCTCCTCATCCCCCTTTTACCCCCTGTCCAGTGGATGAGTCACTCCCCTTCTTCCCCACCCACTGCCATCTGTTTTTCTAATGATGGCAGAAGATGAGCTGTTTCGTTGGCCCACACTGTAACAAAGCACACTCCATGCTAGCATTTTTCCTGGTGCACTCTCAGAATGCTATTTTATTAGTGTCATTTCTCCACCCAGTTTTCCTTTTGTCTCACACCCCACCCTTTCCCCCTCTTTGGCCTCATGTAGACCCAGTTTCCCAGAATTAGATCAAGAGAAACAGAAATACAGAAGAGCTGAGGCACTAACTTGCATGTGGTTGGGTGTGTATGGGGGCTGGGGGAAGTGTTAGGCACCAATGGCAGTTAAATAGCTCTCTCTAGCACACAAGGAGCAGCCAGATTACCCAAGTACTGCTGCTAAGTGGCTTAATTATTTCCAGTGTGAGAGTTGGATGACAAAACATATTGTCGCTGAGACTGTATTTGAGAGAATATCTGTATTTGTCACTGGTTATTCAGGGTGAGAGGTCTTAAAAGAGAGAGAGAGAGAACATCCATCCATATATTCCCTCTTCCATGCCAGGTGTCCTTGGTCATCCTCTCCCAGTAAGGCTCTGTCACATTCGTGATTCTTCCTGGCAAGAATTCCTGTTCATCTAGATAAAAATTCCTAGCATCCCACACCCCACTTGCATCTAGACAGGATCCCTGGAGATAGTAAAGGTCTCAGTTGCATCATTGTGCAGGGGATACCAGCTCTCCCTCACAGGCCTACAACTCAGATGTCCCATGACCCCAGCTGGTTGACTCTTTGAGGGAAGCCCATTAGGTGTGCAGCCAGGGAGGGAGGGAGGCTGTGTTGGGCTACAAAGCAGCTTCCCTGGAGCTTCCGCTGCCACTCAGATGCAACTCACCTTCACTGTGTTTGTCAGATAACCTTGCTTCTCCAGAGAACTCCTTCGTAGAGTCTTATATTAACTTTGATTTGGAGTATTGTGTGCTTGTGCGTGAGACAGGTATTATTTATAAGATATACAAATTATTTGGGAAAATTTCAATTTTCAAACACTGACAACTACAACAAATGTGTTTTTAGACAGCTGTGCTAGCCCAAGCAAACCTATCTGGGCCACCAGTCTGCAAAACCCTGACCTAACTAAGCTCCAGCAAGGCCCAGTTAGAGAATCCCCACACCATAAATAATTCTGACTTGTTTTTAGCTTCTTGCTTACTAAGTCATTTAAAATGGAACGTTGGGGATTTTGCTAAAATAAATCATACATCCAAAAGTCTGTAATTTGGGGAACTAAATTTAAGAGACTTAAACAAAGGGCTTTGGGCTGGGGAAAGTGATGGATTTGGGGTTAGGACTCAGGTACCTGTAAACTGGGAAGACCAGAGTTGCCTGGCCTGTGTTGGAGCAGGCAAGGGGGGCTTACCTCACAGGACTGGATGCAATGGACCAGGCGGGGTTCTGGGTGCCACTGACGCCTGCCAGTGCACATGATGCTCTAAAGTGAGATGGAAAGACAAAAATAAAGTAAGTGAGAAAAGGGGCAAGTTCTTAGCTTACCCCACCAGTTTTATCCTGCTCTCCGAATGGTCAGAGTCCACTGTGCCCAAAGAGGGTTACCTAGTCTTTCCTGTGGGTTTGCTAATCCTGTGGGGTGGTGCCAGAATACAGTACTCTTCTTAGAGGGTATTTTTCATCCTCATCACCCTTTCCCCCCCGAAGGCACCAAAATTTCTAGAGTGGCATTGATATGGTTAAGAAAACAGCCTCAATAACAGCCTCAATATTATAATGAGTTTAATTTGATATCAGGTTTAATGTTGGCTCCTTTTGTTTTTTTAAACTTTAAATCATATTACATGGAATTGTGAAATGGCTGTGTTGATGGGGAAGTGTCTTGAACTTAAAATGGGAATGAATTTCAGGAATCCTAATCACAGTATGTGAGCAGCAGGCAAGGATTAGAGGCTAATTTTCACTCTCTGCAACTCTTGTTAGCACCATTTATCCCTTCCTTGTAGGAGGTAAAAGAGTTTCTATGCCCTGGACAAATTGGCTAATATAAAACCACTGAGACTCAAAAATGACACCAACATTAAGATGATGAGAGTGAAAACGAGCTCATGTTAAAACAGTGCTGATTGTCTCATTCCCAATGGCCATTTCGAGATGCACATTTAATGATAATGACTCATCTTTATTGAGTTTTTCCTTTTAATTTTTTATTTTGAAATTTCAAAAGATGTACTTCAGGAAATGAGAAAGTACAATAGGAGGTTTCAAAGAGGCAAAGAGCTTCTCTCCATAACCTCTAACCACCACCTAGTTGCAGACTTTCACACTCACATTTTAATTCACATTTTAATTCACAATAGGAACTGAGGACAATCAAAAGAAAAACAACATAGAATGAATTATGAGCTTTACAAAAGATCATACCTGTACTAATTGTAAGTGTTATCTTCCAGAATGCTGAATGTGCAGTAATCAGATAAGATACATTTGTATACATTGCATAAAGGTATATGGATATATACCACATAGTTAGTTATGAGTATAGGAATTTGCAATACTTTCTCCAAGTTGTAATACTCTAAACTAAAACTCCTTTAAAGCTCCTTAAAGGGACAATCAACACTGTGAATCCAAACATGTTTTGATATTCCAAACTCTATATTGTAATAATGTAAAAGATGACTAAGTTAGCAACACATTTAAAAAATCAGAAGATCAACTATATACAAAACCAAAGAACTATAAAAGGCCAACACAACAGAGGCACTCAGCCCACTGAAATAGCTTAGACACTTAAGCAGAACCACCTGTTTATAAGTAATGCTACTAACTAAAAATGATTCTTGTTTATGGTTTCAAGCAGGTTACGCTGGAGTTCCATTAAGCCTTGACTATGTCCTTTTTTTTTTAAAGGTGGCGCAATGGATTAAAGCATAGCACTATGAAGCGCTTCACAGACATTGCAGCACAAGTTTGATCCCCGGCCAGGGAAGTGACCCACATGGCACAGCAGACCTCTCCTGACCTGCCCTTTGCTCCCCTCTGAAGTGTATTTCAATTAGTTTGCGTAGATTGCCCCACTCTGTCTCTGGTGAATCCTCTTACCACCCCTGCACCTCTGGCCTGTACTCCAGTTCTGTATGCATAAATAAAAAATCTTTAAAAAAAATAGCAATGGGTCATACTTTGCTGATTTCACAGGTAATAGCCATGGTTGATACAATGTAACCTTTGCTTTCTCATAGCACTGCACCCATAGACAGCAACCACCTCCCCTAGCCCCAGCCCTGCTCTATTCAGTTACTTGATGCAGACCAAATGTTGCTATACCTCACCCCCTAGGAGTGAATGCTCAGGTGGGTCAAAGGGACCCGAAGAGCCACAAATCTCAAGAACCCTCAGGGAGCTCAAAGTGTATTGGGAGAAGTAGTGGAAGAAAGTTGACTTCACATTTTTAGCTTTAACACCCTCACATGATAACCAGGCAGAACTTGCCAGAACACTGAACTGGCTGTATCAGCACCTCTCACACTTGCTAAGCCTTCTACACTACCCACTGCTTTTATAAATGCAGGACTGGTGAATATATTTTTTATATCTGTGTTTTTATGTAATTTTATTCTTAGGTGACACATGCTCATATATAAACTATTTCCCAAATACTAACATTTTCCATCCTATGTCTGGCACATTTTGGTATCATTATAGAGATATTTTATGCCTTTGCACACACACATATACATAAATTATTTCTCATGCAAATTATAGAATGTTCTAATTCTTTTTTGCAGATTGGCTTATGGTTTTTGTTTGATTGACTTCATTTCACTTCACAATGTTTCTGTTCATTTTACAGTATCTGAGAGATTGTTGATCTGTGCTCTGTTGATTTTGCGGTATTCCACTGCACAGATAAACCTAATATACGTAACCAAAGCCACACTGATGGATATCCAGGTTACATCCTATCTTTTGCTCTAACAAACATTAGGTATAAACCATTTCACACCTGTGCAAGTATCTCTATAGCATAATTCTTGATAGTAGGATTGGCAGTACTCCTCTCAGTCTTTTTTACAATTCAGTGTTGAGACTAGTTCAGATAGATAGTCCTCCATAATCTATTAAAGTAATACCAGTACATGTTTCAGATGACTTCCTAGATGGCCACATTCCTGAGACTAGGAAATGTCTCCCACTCACATCTGCTATCTCAGTGACACAGAGGGAGATGATGCTTTTCAAATATTTGTCAACCACCATAGTATGTCTGAGCTGAGGCTCCTTCACCATCTCACCTATGGAAGTCACAGTGAATTGGCTTTATAAATATAGAGATAACTTTAAAAAATACATATCTTAAATAAATGCAGTTCTTTACATAACTACATATTTAAATGAATCTGCAGTTTGCTTTTTAGTTCTTCTGACCCTTGTCCTCTAGGACCCTCCTGTCTAGTCTTCGCCAGTGATGACAGAATCAAGGCCTAGAGAATGTTCAGACTGAAGCCAACAATGTTATGCCTCTAACGTCTTGTGACTCATGTCTAGTGACTTGTTTTCCCAGTTAGTGATTTGTACTGGAGCTGTTATACACAACTACACCCTTAAGAAGACACTTTGGTGGGGGCTGTGGACAAGGCCAGGATTAGAAGACCAGGAGAAGAAAGAGAGGAAGAGACAATTTTGTTGTAAATTATGACTCAGAGAGCATTCAACTTTTTTTCTACCTATTTCTCTCCTCCTTTTAAAACATTTTAATAAGGAGTTATTAATTCTTTCAGGGCCAATTTGAGAAAACAAAGTTGGAAATTATTAAGATTTGCTTTGACTGAATGATTCTGTTGAAAAGCGGGATTGCTTGTGGTGTTGAGAATCCTTGCCAACCAAATTCTGTGTAGCCACAGAAAAATCTCATTAATTTAGACCTTGCTGGTTCATAGCTATGATAAGTTAAAAAAGAGAAATAGAAATCATTGTGGAAAATGAATTTATGAAGCAAACTAATAGAGGACATGTGATGCCATACTTGATGCATACTTTGTGTTTCAGAAGGAAACAGATTCAAAGATAATTTAGAAAACCTCATTTACCTATAAATGATGGTGACATTGTGTGTAAAAAATAACCTTACCATGAAATCAGGTTGCTGAAGGATTCAACAGAGCAAGTTAAAACAACATAAGATATAATAAAACACTGTGTGATACAGTGGTTTGCAATAATCAAAAATTCAACCTTACATTGGCTTTTTTTTTTTAAGATTTATTTATTTGTGCATAAGGAACTGGGGTACAGGCCAGAGGCTCAGGGGCAGCGAGAGGCTTCACCAGAGACAGAGCGGGGAGCAGAACAGGCAGATCGATGAAGTACACTGCTGAGGGGAGCAGCGGGCGGGTCAGGAGAGGTCTGCCACGCCATGTGGTCACCTCCGGGGCAGGCGGGAATTGAACTCATGCGTAAGTGGTTTATATTCTCAGTGCTGTGCTTTAACCCGCTGCGCCAACAGAGAGGGTCAACATTGGCTTTTTTTGAAAATACAAAGGTGGGAGGTGGGAGCCCTTCTCTTCTGAGGCCCTTTATGGACTGAATCAAGCACTGAGGAAGTGTTGTAGACAAAAGAAAGACACCATTCTGACCCTTAAGAATCTTACAGTTTAGGGGGAAGTGGAGATTAGAATAACAGAAAAGGAAGAAAAATATACAATAGGTAATAGAGATGGGAAAAGCACAAAGTTTTCCCAGGAAAAGCCTGAGAGATGTTCTTACCAGACCCTGGCTCAGGCACCAAGCGCTTGGGCATCTAGGTGCTGCTAGCAGGTGCCAGTGGCCATCAGAGACCTTTCCCGGTCTAAGCAAAATGATATGACAGGGTATTTGGCTGTCCCCAGTCTGGCCCAGCTCCAAGATCCTACTACTTGGTCACCTTGACTGGAAAAAATTTATTTCATTGTTAACAACCCCCTAAGATAGAGTCTTCTCTTTCTATCTGGCTATTCCTCTGATGATGCCATCACCAGAGAAAGTCTAGATTATTGTATGTAGTAGCTGTTGAAGGGAGACACTGTTATAACTAAGGTCCAGAAAGGCAAATCAGAGAATGTCAAAGACTTACTACTGTCTTCCACAGTCAGCATGCCTTTGACATATTTAAAAATAACAATATATTTTCACTCTTACTCTCTCTCAGCCTCACAACAAAAGTTGTTAGAAAATACTTCTTTAGGTACCACCTGCTGCCACAACCTATCGGCAGCTGCTTCAGCACTAGTTTGATCCCTAGTGGGAGGTGACCCACATGGTGCCGCAGACCTCTCCTGACCTGCCTGCAGCTCCCCTTAGCAGTATATTGGTCAGTCGGCCTGTTTTGCTTCCCACTCTGTCTCTGGTGAATCCTCTCACTGTCCTTGTACCTCTGGCCTGTACTCCAGTTCTGTATGCATAAATAAATATTTTTTTTTAAAAAAGAAAATACTTCTTTAG